CCACCCACCCATCCACTGATTCCTCCACACATCCATCTATTCATTCCTCCACCCACTCATCCATTCACTCATTCCTCCACCCACCCATCCACTGATTCCTCCACACATCCATCTATTCATTCCTCCACCCACTCATCCATTCACTCATTCCTCCACCCACCCATCCACTGATTCCTCCACACATCCATCTATTCATTCCACCACCCACTCATCCATTCACTCATTCCTCCACCCATCCATCCATTCACTCATTCCTCCACCCATTCATCCATTCACTCATTCCTCCACCCATCCATCCATTCACTCACTCATTCCTCCACCCATCCATCCATTCACTCATTCCTCCACCCATCCATTCACTCATTCCTCCACCCACCCATCCATTCACTCATTCCTTCATCCATCCATCCACTCACTCATTCCTCCACCCATCCATCCACTCATTCCTCCATCCACCCACCCACCCATCCACCCATCCATTCACTCATTCTTTCACCAACCTACGCACCCACCCATCCAACCACTCATTCTTTCACCCATTCCTCTACCCATTTATCCATCCTCTCATTCCTCCATCCACCAACCCATCCACCCATCCATTCACCCATTCCTCCACCCATTTATCCATCCTCTCACTCTTCCACCCACCCACCCATCCATCCATCCATTCACCCATTCCTCCACCCATCCATCCATCCATTCCCCCATTCCTCCACCCATCCATCCATCCATCCACCCATTCCTCCACCCACACACCCACCCATTCCTCCACCCACATATCCACTCATTCCTCCACCCATCCATCCTTCCACTCATTCCTCCACCCACACATCCACTCAATCCTCCACCCATCCACCCATCCACTCATTCCTCCACCCACACATCCACTCATTCCTCCACCCACACATCCACTCATTCCTCCACCCATCCATCCTTCCACTCATTCCTCCACCCACACATACACTCATTCCTCCACCCATCCATCCATCCACTCATTCCTCCAATGAGGAAGACAAAGGGTTCAACACTTACACAGAGGGTCTTCACTCTGGCGTCGTTCACTGTAAAAGTCCCATATCTCATGATGGTGGACACATCGGTGACTTCCTCATCTTTGCTTCGGGCCTGTACCTGGAAGCCTTCAAAGTACTCTTCTGGCGCGTTGCTCATGATTGTCACTGAGGAAATTAGGTGTGTGTTATCATCATCATCATCATCATCATCATCATCATCATCATCATCATCATCATCATCATCATCATCATCATCTGTCAGCCCGTCCATCTTTCCATTCCACCACTCTTCCATCCACCCACCAGTCCATCCATCCATCCATCCGTCCATCCATCCATCCATCCATCCATCCATCCATCCATCCATCCATCCATCCATTCCTCCATCCATCCATTCCTCCATCCGTCCATCCAGCCATCCCTCCTCCCATTCGCCCACCAACCCGACCACTCACTATTCTACTCTTCTTCCCCCTCATCAACAAAACTGTGTATAGAAACGTGCACGACGGGCAGGGAACACAGATTCAGAACTCACCTACGCGTTCTTGTGTTAGTCCTTCACCCCCAATTGAAACACATGTATTTACTTGGCCTAATGTCCTGTCTTGTTGTGCGTTTGCGTGAGTGCACCTTTAGGTCTAACTTTTGTAACGTCTACTGCCAT